GATTCTTCCTTTTTTCTTTCCTTCCTTCCCCCCCTCTTTTCTTTTCCTCCCTCTTTCTCTCCTTTTTCCTTTTCCTTTCCTTCTCTCCTTCCTTCTCTCTTCCTCTTTCCTTCTTCCTTTTTTCTTTTCCTTCCCTTTCTCTTTCTTCCTTCTCTTCCTCTTTCCTTTCTTCCTTCCTGTGGTTTTTGTTTCCATTCTTCCTTTTGTCTTCCTTCCTTCCCCCTCTTTCTCTTTCTTTCTCTTCTTCCTTTGCTCCTCTTTCCTTCCTTTTCTTTCCTTCTCTCCTTCCTTCCTTCTCTTCCTCTTTCCTTCTTCCTTTTTTCTTTTCCTTCCCTTTCTCTTTCTTCCTTCTCTGCCTCTTTCCTTCCTTCCTTCCTGTGGTTTTTGTTTCCATTCTTCCTTTTGTCTTTCCTTCCTTCCCACCTCTTTCTCTTTCTCTCTCTTCTTCCTTTGCTCCTCTTTCCTTCCTTTTCTTTCCTTCTCTCCTTCCTTCCTTCTCTTCCTCTTTCCTTCTTCCTTTTTTCTTTTCCTTCCCTTTCTCTTTCTTCCTTCTCTGCCTCTTTCCTTCCTTCCTTCCTTTGGTTTTTGTTTCCATTCTTCCTTTTGTCTGTCCTTCCTTCCCCCCTCTTTCTCTTTCTTTCTCTTCTTCCTTCGCTCCTCTTTCCTTCCTTTTCTTTCCTTATCTCCTTCCTTCTTTCTCTACCCATTTCTTTCCATCCCTCTTCTTTTCCTCTTTCTCTCTTTTCTTCCTTCTCTACCTCTTTCCTTCTTCCTTCACTCTTTGCTTCCATGTTTCCTTCTGTTTCTTTCCTTCGATGTTTTTCCTCTTCCTTATTTTGAATCGCTATCTGCATACCTTGTGGGTTGAGGTATGTCCATGCCAAGTTTGGTGTGTTTTGGGCCAGGGTTTTTCGCGTTTTGCTGTCCCGTTGAATGCCCTTAACAGATTTATATATATAGATGTAACAAGATTTGAAAAGCGTTCTGTTCCCGGTTTGAAAGTGTGACTTCCTGTTTAATTGTGCAGCCATGACTTTGAATGTAGTAGTGGTTCCACTCCAGAAACTTTACCAAGGAAAGCAAAGCCCTGCTTCAGGAAATGGCCAGAGATTTAAGGAGGAACACCCTTCTGAAGTGAGGCCTGACACATCCACCGAGAAGGACAAAAGCGGGCCCGCCCCACTGTCTCTCTCCCGGCACAACCCACAGAGGCGCACAACGGTGGCACATACCGGGTCCATCTCGAAGTAGACCAGCTCCCCTCCGGTCAGAGCGATCACCACCTGCCTCTGGTTTACGGCACACTTGACAATGGTCTTCTTCCCGGGCGTCTTCCATTCGTTCACGCGTTTGTCCGCTCTGATGTGCCGGATGCCGTCGGGGTAAACCTGAAGGGACACCCAAGTCAAACGGCGCCTTCTTGGCTCATCACGGCAACCCGCGTCTTGTTTATTATTATCACGGGTGACTTGCTGAGCAGCACGTGCCCTGGACCAAACACAGGCTGTCCTGCCTGGAATCACTTGGTTGTTGTAGGTTTTTTGGGCTGTGTGGCCATGTTCTAGAAGCATTCTCTCCTGATGTTTCGCCTGCATCTATGGCAGGCATCCTCAGGCCCCTTCCTTTTCCCCCTCAGCCGCTTAAGCGGCTGAGGGGGAAAAGGAAAGGGCCTGAGGATGCCTGCCATAGATGCAGGCGAATCATCAGGAGAGAATGCTTCTGGACAGTCCTAAAAACCTACAACAACCTAGTTGGTACTGTTTACGTCAGGCATGGCCCAACTTCGGCCCTCCGCCCAGGTGTTTATGACTCCTGGGCAGAGTCCAAAACACCTAACAGCCCACTGGCTGGTCCAAAACACCTGGAAGGAGGGCCGAATTTATATATAATTTGACATTTGATCATTTATTTTTAATTTGGCTCTTTTCCTTGAATAAATAGCTCCTATTGCCTTTCTGAAATATTGACCTACTCCGAAGTGATCCAATACTTTAAACATATAGTCCCATCACACATTGTCAAATGCTTTCTCAGCATCTAAAAACAATAACGCGATCTCTCTACTTGGATCTTGTTCAGCGTATTCTAGTATGTCTATCACTGTTCTCATATTTTGGCTCTATCCTCTGCAGTGTCTCCTCCCCTCCTGGATCTTACACTCTGTTACACTCCAGATCAGGAGACAGGGCCCTCTTGTCATTAATACACATCATCTTGGTTTAGGAAAAATGCAATCCTTTTTACTGAATGAAGAATATAAAATAGATTGAAGTCCAAAGGTAGAGACGTCAAAATGAAACAGCAAACAGCTTGCAGAAAATCCAAAGCAGTACAACCCAGAATACTCTCAATAGAAATCCATGAACAGATTTAGCCCCTGCTAATTCTCACTTGAAGCCAGAAATTCCCTTAGAGACCAGATCACTGGAAACTGGAAATCCCAGGAGGTTTGTACTTGATACTAAACAATGCTTGGTCTGAGGAAATCCCCCTCACGGCCACTCTTAAAGCCCAGAAATTGATTCCAGCTAACTGTAATCTTTGGTTTCACTTGTCGGGTTCTCTCGGACCTACGTAAACATTGGGCCTCTCTGCGGTTCTGGCTTATTTCCAAACTGTGGCTATTATCATTGACCTGACCTGGTGTCACGTTATCTTGCAAGCTCGGGCCAGGAGCTTGCAAGATAACGTGACACCTGGTTGGGTCAATGATAACAACCTCAGTTTGGAGATAAGCCAGAAGCGCAGGGAGGTTCTGGCTCGGTCTGACAGCAACTTTATCTCGATCTGACAGCAACTTTCTCATGAGAACTTGGCTTTTCCCTTGAAGTCTCTAAATCAAAGCCTGTAGGATTTTTCCTGTCCAAAGTGTCTCCATCTTGAGCCTCGTCCTCATTGATCACTTCCGCATCACTATCCAACTTAGTCCCATCAACATTAACATCAACATTACCATCAGCATTAGGCAATACAATCAGAGATTCAGGCTCAGGTTCACACACAGGCTGAGTCCCAACACACTCCTCTTTATAAACTGCACCTGAAAAGGGGATCCCGCCCTGAGAAAGGCCAGCCTCACCTGCACCAAGGCGTCCTCCCCCAGCAAGGAGCAGGAGAGCGTGGGGGTCGTGCCCAGGAACCCGGAGTCCGTCACTTCCTCGACCGTCTCCCCGATGGAGAGGACCAGGGTGGCGTTCACGAAGGACACGATGATGTAGGCGTCAAACTCATCTGGGTGGGGAGACAGAAAAGGCACAAGCGCCAGAGGCTCAGAAAGGCTGGCCCGGAAGGAAGGCCTTCCTCTCCCCCTGACAGCACCCTCTCACACGCGCAGGAAGGCGGGCTTAGGCCTCCAAACTCAGTGGCCTCCACTCCTGTCTAAGTACAGGTAGGAAATCAAGGAACAGATGGGACCATATGCAATAACAAGGCGCTTGGTGGCCCACCCAATTCATTCTGAAATTCTTGGGTTCTAGGGAATATACATTCACAGCAGCAGATTTCTATGTGGAGACACAAATCTGGGGGAAACGCTAGGTTTTAATGAGATAATACATCTAGTTGTAGGAGAACGCTATGCAACACAGTTGTTATTCCTGCATTATTAATACCATTTCCAAATTGGGTCAATCATAAAAATATGGAAAAAGTTTAATGCACTGATGTCTTAGTGGGAGGGACATCCTGCATACAGCCTATTATATTATTATAGTTATTACATTATTGTATTATATTATAGTATTATATAATTATAATATAATACACTCTAACACAATTTTTCTTCCTGAGTTATAAATGCCATTTCCTAATTGGTTCAATCAAAAAAGTTAATTAAGCTACACAAACTTTGTTTTCGTGGTCTGCACATTAAAAGGTTAAAAATGGCATATTTCCATGAAGGAAAATTACAAATCTTTGGGTTTTAGGGAATGGAAGGATTAAAAACATTATCAATCAAAATTAGAAAAACAACAAAGTTTCTGGGGTACAACAACTCCTTTCAAAGTAAGGGCTGCACAATGAACCAGGAAATAACACTTTCAAGCCAGGAACAGGACATTTTTCCAATTTTGTTACACAGTGTAATAATCATACGTTTTGCATTATTTTTGGTGCTAGTGATAAGATTTGTCCCATTTTAATGCTGTACATTTTGTGTCAACATTGTTTTTGATTTAACTCCTCTCACTTTAGGGGAAAAGGATATTGAATAGATCACTATTAAAACAGAGAGGGGGAGCCAATGGTGCAGTGGGTTAAACTGCTGAGCTGCTGAACTTGTTGACTGAAAGGTCACAGGTTCGAATTTGGGGAGCGGGGTGAGCTTCTGCTGTCAGCCCCAACTTCTGCCAACCTAACAGTTTGAAAACATGCAAATGTGAGTAGATCAATAGGTACCGCTCTGGCAAGAAGGTAACAGTGCTCTATACAGTCCTGCTGGCCGCATAACCTTGGAGGTGTCTATGGACAATGCTGGCTCTTCGGCTTAGAAATGGAGATGAGCACCAGAGTCCCAGAGTCAGACACAACTAGACTTAATATCAAGGGAAAACCTTTACCTTTACCTATAATAGAGAGGGGCAATGCCAGGTGACCTGCATACACCACCCTTAAGCATATTCACTAAGACCTAATTCCCACTTTATTATCTGTATTGCAATAGTAAGAATCAGAAAGGACCATTTCTGACAAATTCAAGAAGGCAACGGAGACTCCTTTGGTCTCATCCGAAGTAAGAACTTATCCTGTGAAGCTTCTGGCATGATCAGGTGACTCCGGGACAGAAAGTGGCAGCGAAAGAAGAATGCCCAAGAGACAAAGACAGACAAGAAGGGCACCCGTCTCTGGAGAAGAGGCTCTTTTTAAAGGTCCCCATCACACCTGGTTTGCCCACAGCGGCTCCTTCTGCCGGCCGGCGCACACTCATCCCTCCCGTTTCATGAAAAATATACAAGCAAGAGGAAGCAACCGAGGCAGTCAATGTGCACCAACCCAGACTGGGACAAAGCAACTCTGCTACACACAGCATACTGCAAACATACGAGGTTGAATGAAAAGTAATGCCTCCACCTTCGTAACTCAACAGATAGCAGTACTGGTATGCAGAAGGTACTGGCTTGTTCAGTAGACTTTCCTCTACAGTTCCATTTTGGCTGGAAGACTTAGCATTGAACGGTTGTGTTGTTAAAATTGCAAAGTATGGAACCTGCGCAGATGGTCAGTCAATGCAACTTAAGTAACGTGCAATCATTGAATTCTTGACAACAGAAGGTGTCACCTCAACATCTTTACGCTTACTCACCCAACGACGCACAGTACTCACATCAACACAATCACCATAAACAGTTTGCATTCTCTGATGAGTTAAAGTACATTAACTACTGGAGATTACTCCATATATCTTTGACTGGACTTCACCTTGACACTGGGTTTTGCTCTAACTCTCATAGTAACATTGATTTTTGTATTTCACAAGCAAACCCATTGAGAATTTTCAGCATTTAGGTAATTTTACAAGGAATATGTAAAGTGTAAAGTGTTTGGGATAGTTGCTCTCCCTTATTTTTATAACTCCTTTTATTTTACTATTAGCTGCTCTAAAAATTTCGCAATCTTACTATATACAATTTTACCATTTTTATTATTTTAAGTATTAATTAAATGAAACATATCTTGAATGTATTCTCCTGTTTTCTAATAATTTGAAAGTAAAAGTTGTAATGTCTTTATGCATTCTCTGATGCATCTCCTTTGGAGTGACACCTTCTGCTGTCAAGAATTCAATGACTGCACATTGCTTAAGTCACATTGACCGACCGTCTGCGCAGGGTTCCATACTTCGCACTTTAATAACACAACCGTTCAATGCTAAGGCTTTCCACAAAAATGGAACTGTAGAGGAGAGTCTACTGAACAAGCCAGTACCTGACACATACGTTGCTTAAGTCACACTGACCGACCGTCTGCGCAGGGTTCCATACTTCCACTTTAATAACACAACCGTTCAATGCTAAGGCTTTCCACAAAAATGGAACTGTAGAGGAGAGTCTACTGAACAAGCCAGTACCTGACACATACGTTGCTTAAGTCACATTGACCGACCGTCTGCACAGGGTTCCATACTTCGCACTTTAATAACACAACCGTTCAATGCTAAGGCTTCCCGCCAAAATGGAATTGTAGAGGAGAGTCTACTGAACAAGCAAAGGAAGGAAGGAGGTAGAGAAGGAAGAAAGGAGAAGGGAAAGACAAAGGAGGAAGGAAGGGAAGAGGGAGAGAGGAAAGGAAGGAAGGAAGGAGGGAGGGAAGGAGGGAAAGAAAAGAGAGAAAGAGGGAGGGAAGGTTGGCCACAGCAACGGTGGCACATACAGCTAGTCTATTACTATTATGTGTATGTATACCCTGCTTTTCTCTCCAACAAGGAGACTGAAAACAGCTGACATTAAAAGCCTTTCCAAACAGAATAAAATCTACAAATATGCAAGCAGAATGTCATATAAATGGTATTACAAAATTCACATCTTCCTTCCTGGGACACCCCCCCCCCCCCCCCCCCCCCACTCTGATTGGAAACAGCCAAGGCTATTTCCCTCTCGCTGCCCCTGCCTTTTGTCACCCCCCTCCTCCACCCCCTGCTCCCAGGCCTCTTTTCTTCTCCGGGGTCGTGTGACAGGCAGGACGCAACCCCAGTGTGACAGACCCACTCTGCCCCATTACAACCCAGAAATCTGGGCCACGAGGTTTCCATAATCACAAAGCAACAGACGAGACACATCCCGGCTGTGCTGGATCGCCTGCCGCTTGTGGACTGTGCACATCACGCCTCAGGCTCCCCGCTTTCTTCACCAACATGTCTCTCCGCCTCATTCACTGTTTCGCTCATCTCTTTTAAGACTCATCTCTTTACGTTCAAACAAAGCATGGGGAACCCAAACACAATAGTTTGCCACTATTCAAGCCCACTCATCCGCACGCCTCTGGGCACAGGTTTCCTTTCCTTCCTAAGGAATCTCTCGCGTGGATTTCATCAATCCAAACCCTCTTGTCCGGTGCCAATCTCTGTTTAAAGACTCAGAGGAAATCATAGAATCATAGAACTCTGTGGTTGAACTGCTCTTGCTGTTCAAGGCTTGTGGGTATCTCTTTCCTTGCGATTCCTAGTCTGAGGAACAGCAGAAAACAAGCCGAGTCCATCTTCCAGACGACATCCTTATCATGCAATTTCCCTGCCTTCTCTAAACTAAACATACCCAGCGATCTCAGCCATCTCCCTGGATTTTGTTGCCAAAGTGGGACAGAGTGGTGTTACTTTTTCAGAATGAAGCAGAGAGTGTTTGAGGACCAGGACGTCCATAGGGAGACCAAGGTGCTTGTCTATAAAGCTATTGTCCTCCCAACCCTGCTATACACCTGCAAAACATGGACTGTCTACAGACGTCAACACTGACACTGAGCTCTGCGAGTGCAGCATTTTTCAGAATGAAGCAGAGAGTGTTTGAGGACCAGGACGTCCATAGGGAGACCAAGGTGCTTGTCTATAAAGCTATTGTCCTCCCAACCCTGCTATACACCTGCAAAACATGGACTGTCTACAGATGTCAACACTGACACTGAGCTCTGCGAGTGCAGCATTTTTCAGAATGAAGCAGAGAGTGTTTGAGGACCGGGACATCCATAGGGAGACCAAGGAGCTTGTTTATAAAGCCATTGTCCTCCCAACCCTGCCATATGCCTGCAAAACGTGGACTGTCTACAGACGTCAACACTGACACTGAAATTCAACACCGCCTGAGCTCTGCAAGTGCAGCATTTTTCCAAATGAAGCAGAGAGTGTTTGAGGACTCGGACATCCATAGGGAGACCAAGGGGCTTGTTTATAAAGCCATTGTCCCAACCCTGCTCTACGCCTGCGAAACGTGGACTGTCTACAGATGTCACATGCAACTCCTGGAACGATTCCATCAGCGTTGCCTCTGGAAAATCCTGCAAATCTCTTGGGAAGACAGGCGGACAAACGTCAGCGTGCTGGAAGAAGCAAAGACCACCAGCATTGAAGCGATGGTCCTCCGCCACCAACTCCGCTGGACCGGCCATGTTGTCCGGATGCCAAACCACCGTCTCCCAAAGCAGTTGCTCTACTCTGAACTCAAGGACGGAAAATGGAATGTTGGTGGGCAGGAAAAGAGATTGAAAAACAGACTCAAAACCAACCTTAAAAACTCTGGCATAGA